GATGATGATGATGATGATGATGATGATGATGATGATGATGATGATGATGATGATGATGATGATGATGATGATGATGATGATGATGATGATGATGATGATGATGATGATGATGATGATGATGATGATGATGATGATGATGATGATGATGATGATGATAATAATGATAATGAGGATGATGAGGATGATGATGATGATGAGGATGAGGGTGATGATGAGGATGATGATGATGATGATGAAGAGGATGATGATGAGGATGATGATGATGAGGATGATGATGATGATGAGGATGAGGGTGATGATGAGGATGATGATGATGATGATGAGGAGGATGATGATGAGGATGATGATGATGAGGATGATGATGATGATGAGGATGAGGGTGATGATGAGGATGATGATGATGATGATGAGGAGGATGATGATGATGATGATGAGGGCCACAATAGTACATTTCAGTGACGAAAGTTCAGGTGTTTTTTAAGAAAAAGTCACAAAAATGTTTTTACCTCAAAATGTAAAAAGAAAGAACAGGGGATGAAGAGATAAAGGAAGGATTACAGAAAAAAAACTGGAAGGATATATTTTGGGCTGCGAGACGGCGAGGAAGTAAAAAAAGTGAGGTGGTAAAAATAATAATAAAGAAAGACAAAGTGAGGAGTCACAAAAGACAGGAGGGAAGACGGGACACAGGGACACAGGGACGCTGGAGAGGAAGTAATAAATGTATAAGACAGAGAGAAATAGGAAAAAAAGAGGAAAAAATAAAAAATGAACGTTAGGGTAATGGAAACGGAGATGGAAAAACCTGGAATTGTAAAATAAATCTCAGACATGACTCAAAAAAAGAAAAGTTTGAAAGTAACTGAAAGAAGTTTGAGATATTTTTTTCTTGGACCAATCAGGATTGAGCCTTCATGAATAATTACTGAGCTCTGACTCCACTTTTATTGATCATGTGATCAGACTTCAGTGTGTGTCTGTGTTTGTGTGAGACAGTCAGTCAGTCAGTCAGTCAGACAGTCAGTCAGACAGACAGACAGTCAGTCAGACAGACAGTCAATCAGACAGACAGTCAGTCAGACAGACAGTCAATCAGACAGACAGTCAGTCAGACAGACAGTCAATCAGACAGACAGTCAGTCAGACAGACAGTCAATCAGACAGACAGTCAGTCAGACAGACAGTCAGTCAGTCAGTCAGTCAGACAGACAGTCAGAAGAAGGTTCAGAAACAGAACACTAAAGTTTGTCAATAAAGAGCACAAAGGTTTCTCTACATCTCCTGCAGGGGGAGCTGTGAAACATTTGCACTGACTTGGAGCACAGGTTGATTTCAGGTTGGCACAACATTATTGTTTTATATAAATCTAATGCTGTAACTCAGTCAAACCTTCTCCACCTGGAGAGCCGAGCGTCTGGGTCCTATAACAGCCGGCACCCACTGATCTGAGGGTCCGTAAAAACTCTGCCTCGACAAAACTTTAATTGCCCCTGTTTTTTAAAATGAGTTTGCTGTGACACAGGAGGGGTTTTAAGGATTTATGACTTTGATATTTATAACTTGACTGTGAGCTGGTCTGGAGCCTCTGATGTCTCCACTTCTTCTTTGTGTTTCCATCGATGCTCTGAGCAGCAATACTGCCCCCTACTGGCTGTTCAATGGTAAACAGTGGAACGTATCAAGTTCTCTGGCACGACACTAGGAGTGCACACTGAGTGGACTGTACCTTTAGACTGCTGCTCTGTGATTGGTCAGTACTCCTGTATTAATCAATGGATGGACATGTTTAATAGAAATCAAGTTTGTGTTTATCAGAAACCACTTCACTTCTGGTCATCACCGTGTGTGTGTGTGTGTGTGTATATGCGGGTCGATACCAGCTGAGAACGAAACAGGAAGACAGTGTGTGTGTGTGTGTGTGTGTGTGTGTGAATTAATTGTATTAAAATGGAGGAAAAGCAGGAAGAGAGAATCATTATCTGGAAAATGGAGGAGTAAGAGCTTCTCTCAGGTTACACACTGTCTGAGTGAGTGTGTGTGTGTGTGTGCGTGTGTGTGTGTGTGTGTGGATGGACTGCAACGCTGATGTGCACTGAAGTTAACCCAGTGTCTCCTGAACCTCCTTCTTCACTCTCGTCTCACTGGAACAAGTAAAACAAACACAGAGCTGGTTTTTCTCAAAAGAACAAAAACTGTGGACAGAAGTCATTAAACACCGTCAGAACAACACGGAATG